CATGGCCATTTGAACCCTCTCCACCATCTGACGCGGATTGTCCCAATTGCCCATCTTGCGGATTGCCGTAGACATCACGGAGAACATGAAGTCGATGTCCTCGTGCGTGTGCCCCACTTGCAAATACGATGTCGTAACTGATCGGAAAATGCTGCGGTCGACGAGCATTGACGCAAATTTGGCCACGTGGACATTTTTGTTTTCCCCGCTACAGTTATCCATTTGCAACCACAAGTGGCATGGCAATGGGGTGCCACTGGCTGCCCCGCTCTGCCAGTCCGAGAGGCAACGGTCCAGCGCGCGCATGAGCACTTCGATTGTAAGGTTGCAATTATGCGGCATGTCCTCCTCGACAAAATTAAAGGACAACTCCCGCCCATGCGTCCAGCAACCCTCTACCTTCATTTTTGGTCGCTCCACGCCGTCCAGGGCTTTGGGCGTTTCAATCGATGTTAGAACCCTGAATTTCGCTTGGTCAGCACCATCAATAATGACGCATAGCCACTTTGAGCCTTCCTGCGCGGCGACTGCTTTCAGTCTCCAGTGCACCATTCTGCCCCGCCACTGCCGCTCAAGATGGTCGCAAAGCGCTTTGGACTTCACCAATTTGTCCGCGTGCGACGCTGCCTGGGCCATCTCCGCCTTCAGTTGAGAGCGCGCATTGCACGCGGGGTGCTTTCCATACTTGGAAAATCTCAAAACCTTTTCGAAGCATTCTTTCCACACCCGCTTCAACGTGCTATCCGCCACCGTGCCCCCCGGCACGTTGATGCGTGCTAGAATGCCAAGTGCTGTCTGGCAGGGTTTCTGGAATCTTCTAAGGGACCCCCCCCTCTCCCGGCCGCGCCCAACCGGGTGCATCACCCCCTCTTCCCGAGGCGCTGTCGGCGCCAAGACACGTCCCTGGCGCTCTCCAAGGCGTCCCAAATGCCCAAGATGGCCTCCAAGACGGACCTGGGAGGCCACCAAAGCCGCCAAGATGGCCCAAGATGCGTCCCAGACGGCCCGAGAGGCCCCAAAGAAGCCCCAAGAGCGCTCCATGAGGACCCCCAAGAGGGCACAAAGAGGCAAACATCATTGATTTTCATCGTGTTTTCGATGTTTTTCATGTTATCGCCTTTCTGAGCTTCCGACGCTCCAAGGCGACCCCCGGGGCCCCCAATATCGCCCCAAGACAACCCAAGAGGCCCTCAAGAGGGTCCCAAGACGGCCCAAGAGGGCTTCAAAACGGCTCAAGAGGCGCCCAAGACAGCCCAAGAGAGCCCCAAGACGGCCCCAAAAGGGGCCGAAGAGGGGGACCACGAACCGAAAATTCGAGCCTTCCGCCCGAAGAGGCCCCCAGGAGGCCCCAAGAGGCCTCCAAGAAGCTCCAAGAGGCTCCCAAGAGGCCCCTGAGAGGCCCCCAAGAGGTCCCCAGACGGCCCCCAGGAGGCCCCAAGAGGCCTCCAAGAAGCCCCAGGCTTCAAAAATATCTCCAGCAGGCCCCCAAAAGGCATCCCACGATATCCCCGCGATCATCATCATCATCATCATCATCATCATCACCATCATCATCATCATAATCATCATCATCGTCATCGTCATCGTCATCATCATCACCACCGTCATCATCATCATCGTCGTCATCATCATCACCATCACCATCGTCACTATCCTCGTCGTCATCATCACAATCATCATCGTCATCATCGTCATCATCATAATCGCCATCATCATCACCACCACCACCATCGTCATCATCATGTTCTTCATCATCATCATCGTCGCCGTCATCACCATCATCATCATCCTCCTCATCATCATCATCATCGTCGTTATCATGCTGTTCATCCCTCGCGAGTACGGCCCCCGGTGCAACCTCGAACGAGAGGCGCCGAGCATGCTGACTGGCACGGTGGCGGGACTTGCCGCAGGCAGCTGGATAGCTCCCTTGCGGGCGTTTGAACCCTTGCTCCTGCATGGACGCGAGGTACAGCCACCATATGTCCTTTCGGCTGCCGGGGGGCAAACGACGCACGGGGCAGTCTTCCGACGGCTCGATGAGGAACCGCAGATCGCCTTTTTGGATCATGCGTGGGTTCGGCGGCAAATGGGTGCCACTGGCTGCCCGGAAAGCCGCCACTTGATTCCGATTCTCTTCAGAGACCGGCTCCGTCGGATTGGCGGGAATGATGACGTCGGCGTCTGGCATTGTTTCCGCGTGCGAAGTGTAGATTTGCCATAAGTGGGTGTACAGCGATGCGTACGCCAGGGGGGCTCTCCCCCTCGGGTCGCCGCGCGCCCTCTTCCCGAAACGGGCGTCGGTTTCACCGCGCAACGCTCTGCTTCGCCTTCTCCAACCTATTGAAAGCAGAGCCCGTTGCGCCCGTTTGCACACTCGCACGGGCCCAACGTGCAAGGCGGCGTCAACGGGCCTGCAGATCCAAGAGAGCAGCTGGTCCTTGTGGCATTTGGTCGTGTTCTCCAATGGATACAACGCCCCAGCTATCGCATTGATGGCTTGCCCCGCCGCGCTCTTGCAGCCCATTCGGCAGCCAGGAAAGCAAGGCTTGGGGATCTGCGCAACACCTTAGCGGGCCCCGTTTCCGCGCCAGCCGGCCGCCCGTCCGTCCGACCGGCCAGCCGCCCGACCGCCGACCGGCCAGCCGCGCGCCAGCCGAAACCGAAACGACAGCCGAAACTCGAATGGAAGAAAACTAAGCCCCAGACGTGCCACGACGTTTTCTCTGACCTCCTGATACGATTTTTGCGCAACCTTGCCACGGTCGGCCGCGACGCTGCGAAGAAATGCAGGCGGGGGAAGGGCGCCCCCGGGGGTGCAAACTCCGACCTGGGTCGCCAATGGCAAGGGCTTCAATTCTTGCTCCACGTCTGAGCTGCTGGTGGTGCTGCTGCTGCTGCCACTGGCTGGCGCATTGCGCTCGTTATTACCATCATCGGGCTGCGCTTGTGGACGCCCGTGGCAAGAGGTTGGCTCGCTGAGCTGGGTGACAACGGTGTGTGCGCCTGACGCGCTGTCGCATTCTGCAGCTGCCGCTGGCTGGCTGTCAGGGCCCGTGCGCGCTGTCTCAGGCTCAGAAAGCTCCGGGTCGACTACCTGACGCGCAGTTGTTTTTCCCGCGACGACGGCTGTAGCTGCCGCGGGCTGGCTGCTCGCCGTGCCTACAGTGCGCGGTTCGCTATCTGCTGCGGCGACTGCTGCCCCGCGCGGGGCGCTGCTGCACGCCGTGGGCACGGTAGCGTTGCTACTAGCTACCATTGATGTCTTGTCGCGGGGTTCCCCAGCGTCGCCGAGGATTTGAACCGAAATTTGAATTCGAGCGACGAAGAAGGGGAGGGAGGAGGACAAGGACGAGGAAGAGGATGGGAGGGGGAGGATAAAGGAGGAGAGAGGAAGAAGAGAAGGAGAGGGGAGAAGGATAGGAAGGGATGCAAGAACAGGACGCAAGAAGAGGGCGAGGACGACGATACGATGACGAGGATGACGAACGAATCGGAGGATGAAAATGATAATGACGGTCGGACACGACGATGGGATGAAGACTGTACGATGTGGCGATGACGGGACCCAGTTAGAAAGGCCCGGGTCCCACTTAGAATGAGCCCTGCTTTGAACTCCTCGAAACGTTACCCGAGAACGCCTGTAGCGATGAGTAGCGCCCGTATCCTCCACCCCCTCGTCGTTCTCCTTACTCTCCGCCTTGCCCTCCTGATGATCTCCTCGTGCCCCTCCGACGGAGTCGCGCAGGAGAGCTTCAGGTCGCAGCGTCGGGAGGACATACGGCCTGGGAGCCGCGAAGAGGCCCCGCGCGGGCCCGGAGATCGTCCTGGATCAGAATGGGGAATGCGATGACGAAGAAGGGTACTGAGGAGGAGGGGGAGGAGGAGGAGGATGAACAAGAGGAGGATGGGTAGGATGAGGAAGAGGAGGGACAGGAGGCGGAGGCGGAGGATGAGCAGGAGTAGGAGGAACAAGGGGGAAAGGAAGGATGAGGGGGATGAGGAGGAGGATGAAGAGGAGGAGGAGGAGGAGGAGGAGGAGGAGGAGGAGGAGCGCCCTCGCCCGGGGCTGTGTTCGAGGAGGACCGGCGGCCTGGGAATGGCATCCACGAGGAGGAGGCTGAGGAGGAGGGAGGAGGAGGAGGAGGAGGAGGAGGAGGAGGAGGAGGAGGGTGAGGACGCTTGTTGGCTGTCGCCATAGCGGCCGCTACCGGCCCCGGCCGCCTCCCCCCCCCCGCCAGGCAACGTCACGATTCGTCCTGACCTCGGGTTCGCCTCTGGTTCTGCCTGAACATTCCCACATGGCGCCAGCGCGAAACGTGACGCTACCGGCCCCCCCGCCCCCCTCGCCACTCCCCGGTAGTGCCCGTCATCGCCAGGGAATAAAAAAACGCCCTCGAGGAGGGCGACAACGCTGCACTCCGGTCGGCAACGCGCTTTAGCGGAAGGGCTGGTGGTGGCAAGGCGCGTGAAGACGGCGGGGGCGGCGGCGGCGGCGGCGGCGGCGGCGGCGGCGGCGGCGGCGGCGGCGGCGGCGGCGGCGGCGACGGCGACGACGACGACGACGACGACGACGACGACGACGACGACGACGACGACGACGGCGGCTGCTCCGTCCGTAGTGAAAAGGAGGAGAGCAACAACGCTGCACTCCAGACGGCAACAAGCGTGGATGGGCTGGTGGTCGCAAGGCGCGAAGCGTCCATCACCCAGGCGGGAAATATCCGTCCTGAAACCGGAGCTGGCACCGGGGCATGGCGGCCGGCGGCGGCGAGGCCAACGCCGACGGCTCCGACGCCGACGCCGACGGCGACGCGAACGTTGGCGCTGGCGGCGTCGGCGGCGACGACGACGACGATGACGACAACGAGGACGAGGACAAGGACGAGGACGAGGACGACGACGACGACGACGACGACGACGACGACGACGACGACGACGGCGACGACCACGGCGGCGGCGGCGGCGGCGGCGGCGCTGACGGCGGCGGCGGCGGCGAA